AAGTATATGTCTTCAGAATGCGAAATTTTCGCAAGAGACGTCCCATTATTCGGTTGCCAACCTTTCTCCATAGTTAATGTCTACTTTCCAGACGGTGTACAAGACACTAGGCGATTGAATATGGCAATCAGATTATGGTGTAAGGAGAAAATTGTAGTCGGTAATTTTAACTCTCATCACATGTGTTTGGGGTTTTAAAACTGATTAGTGTGGTAGACGTTTGTCGGAGTAGGCAACAGATGATTATCTATCGTGTTTAAACACCAGAACCCCCACATTTATTCGTAATCGATGTCGATCAGCTTTAGATCTAAGTTTCCTAAGTTCGAGTATTTAGAGCTCATCCTAGTCAGCGCTTGACTGTGCCACAAATAGCGATCATTTTTCTATAAGTTCAGAAATTTCTCGCCCGAGAACCGCTCCTTGCTCTCAAGTAATAGTCTTTGTGAATTACAATATATTTAGAGATATCCTAACATCAGCTTTATCGACTTCCTCCGACGAAAGCAACAATTTCAAAGCGAGGAAGCTAAACGCAATTATTAAAAGAGCCTATCAACGAGCTGAATTTACTGTTGAATCGGCTGAAAGGGCACCTTGTAGTCCTTGGTGGAATGAAGATTGCACACGAGATCACTCCCGTCGCCAAGCAGCTTGGAAGCAACTTATTCACAATCAATCACCTAAAAACTGGTCTGATTATAAATTTACAGCAGCTAATTTTAAACGCACGTTCCCTAAAGCCAAAATGGGAGTATGATCGCCGACATTACAACTTCCTCTCAAAACCGAGAAATAAGAAAGCACTGTTTCGATACATGAGAAGAAGGAAGATCCAGCCATCACCAGTTAATTCAGATTATGAACTTCTATCATCAGCGCAAATGACTAAATCTCTACATTTAATCGCTAAATGCTTAGAGGGTAAATTTACATCAACTGTACCTATAAAGTGGCAGAATCGCACAAACAAGGCTGATTTTGAGGAAGTTACAATGTCGAAACTATCCTGCGTGATAAGGCAGTTACCCCTTTCAGCACCGGGCCCGGATGAAATTACAGTGTCTATGATCCAAATATTATTCAAGGTATCTCCCTGTGAAATTCCTAATGTTATCAATTATTCTGAAAAGCATGCAAGAATTCCTTATGAATGGAAAATAGCGAAGGAATTTCTAATACCTAAGAAACAGGGAGCAGGATTCAACATAGAAAATATAAGACCTATATTCTTAACTTCTAACATAGCCAAACGCATAGAGCGGGATCTGCACGGCAGGATCACTAGTTGGATAGAAGGCAAGTTAATACTAAAATCTCAACAAATTGGCTTTAGATCAGATTGTTAAATTTGGCGTGCCCATTCAGACTTAGAGAGCCGAATGCAGCTTGCTAAAAAAGAAGACAAAAGAAGGCACTAGTGACTCTTGACATTGCAAAAGCCTATGATAGCGTTGAACATTCGATTTTGCTGAATACACTGATAACTATAAACTTCCCACAGTACATGGCGGCGTGGTTAGCAGTGTTCTTGATCTCACGGAAGTTTTATTGTGTCAAGGATGGATGTTTATCACCTAGATACAAACAGAGTCGCGCAGTTCCCCAAGGAGCAGTTCTATCACCTCTTTTATTTAACATACTAATGAGTTCCATACCGACCTGCCAAGATATCTATGTCTATGTGTATGCTGATAATATAGCCTTCTTTTTTAGTGAAAATGATATTTATGCTCTTCAGCAAGAATTACAAATATATTTGAACATGCAAGAAAGATGGCTGCATTCAATTTCAATGATTTTGAATGTAATAAAAGTGCTCTTTTGGCGTTTCTCATAGCTGGTTCTGTTTCAATTGCCATTGCGTACAATCAGAAAGTAGACACCCTTAAATAACTGGGCGTGTTGTACAATGAAAAACTTGACTGGAGTCCACATATAAAATACATCGTGGCTAAGGCTCAACGGGCGTTAGGCTTACTGCGAAGAATGAGTAATCGCAAATTTGGCGTGTGGAGGCACACCATAGTATGTTATACAAAGTTCATATGGGCCCAATTTTAGAATTTGGATGTGTCTTGTTTTCAGGAGGACCTGCATAGAAAACAAAGCCGTTGGTTCTATTGGAGCACGAAGCTCTACGATTGCGTCTGGGCTTTAGATAGATAAGTGGGGTTCAACGTCCCAAAACCACCATATGATTATGAGAGACGCCGTAGTGGAGGGCTCCGGAAATTTCGACCACCTGGGGTTCTTTAACGTGCACCCAAATCTGAACACACGGGCCTACAACATTTCCGTCTCCATCGGAAATGCAGCCGCCGCAGCCGAGATTCGAACCCGCGACCTGCGGGTCAGCAGCCGAGTACCTTAGCCACTAGACCACTGCGGCGGGGCACGCGTCTGGGGTTTCCTAGGTTTGTAGCAATTAATGTTATTTATCAGGGAGCGCGTCTGCCTACATTGCTCTGTCGATTCCGCTTGTTAACAGAACAGGCATTTCTAAAATTTTACAGCTTACCAGTGAGAAGAGCTGAATATGTTTTCATCAGTGACCCAGATTCGTTCTTTCTCGCTCATTGGCCTCGTTTTCATACACTGCAAATAATCTATGCACAAAAGAAACTGGCAAGTATAAATATGAGCATTAGTGAGGTGTTGCATCTGATAACTCAAACCAAATTCTTAGTATAGAATATGATGAGATCTTTTCTTCGCAATCTAAATTTCAATCTCGCAAATTCTTAGAGAACAAGTTAGCAGATTTCCTGGAGTGTACACAGACACGTAACTTAATTACTACAGATGCTTCCGTCAATGAGAAAAGGGCCGGCGTAGGAATAGTTTCCCAATCACTTGGCTGGTTATTTGCCGTGAGGCTACCCAATTTCACTCCGGTTTTTGAAGCGGAGCTCATGGCAGTCATCATGACACTGCAAAATCTTCCGATGAATGAAAACAGGGCACTTATAATTACTGATTCGCTCTCGGTATGCACTGCTATAACGACTTCTCATACCTCCAGTGTCACCACGATGTTACGATCTTTAGACCCGTCTCAGCTGAAGTGCCCCGGACAATTATACGATCTCAGCTAAGCCAGCTGGCCTGCCTCCAGACTTCACACCTGCCCCAACACCTGTCAAAGCCCGCGACACCACTCAAACTATGGACTAAGAGCCTTCTGTTGCGCTGAACGCCATCAGTTTCCCCAGGACACCAGTGCCTGCTACTCAAACCCTCGTACACTGCCAGCCCAATCACGACTTCTCCAACGTCTCGAGTGGCAGCCAGGGTTTTATAGACGTGTCCGTGAAAATTTCGTCCAATCTTTCTGAAGAGCCACGCCGCAGGCGCTTGTGCCAGCTCACAAACCTTATACCATCCGCTCTCTTGGAAAACCATTCGCCTACGCACCCGTTGTGTTATCGCCATTTGATGGCGGGCTGCAGCAGTTCTACTCACAGCACACGACTTGCGGTTCACCCAGGATGTGCATCCGTTTGTCGACAGATGCACTGTTGTTGGCGCTCAGGAAGCCGCAGCAGATGACGATTGGCATTGCGTGGACCACGGCGTTCGCACCACTTGCACCGACTCTATTTGCAACGCGCCCCACTAATTGGCTCACTGCTGCTGGCTCCTCGACCACTGCGTGGTTCCCAGTGCCACCCGCTGGAACTATCGGACTACTTCGTACGCCTTCTACCCTGATGACATTCGGACTTTCAAGTGGACACCATAGGAATTGGCGCACATGTATATAATGTTTATATGTTCTTCTAACATTTTTTACATTTATTTTTTATTGCGTAACACGCTAGGCGGAGAGACCTTGTAGCGTAGCGCTAGTGGCAGCCATCCGGCTGGAGAAAAAGATGACGAGCGCTAGTGGCTTGTGGCGCCAGGCACCTGGAACGCGAGTGCTTCTGGTTGGCTGGATGCCACGGTCACTGCTCTACTTCGGCAGCTCGTTTCCCCCTGTACACCTCGCACTTACATTAAACCAGCGACGATGGCACGTCTATGTTGGACGCCGTCACGGGCCGCCGGTGGTTATAAACTCGTATGTGCCACCGGTGGCACATACCCGAGAGAGCGGGTATGTGCCACAGGAGATAGACATTTAGGGGCGAAGCTCCTTATGCCGTCGGTCGTTCGTCCTCGACGTATGTAGTAGGTAGCCACCTCTCATATAGTTCTTGGAATGTCCGCTAGATGGCGGTACTTGTTTATAATAAATATATGATGAAAAGATGCAAGACAGTGGTACTTGGAGTGTTCACTAGACGGACGGACATACATACAGACAGACAAACAGACCCACGCACGGGCATATCGACCCACAATTGGACGGATGGACTGATGCCCGAACGGACGGGTGGACGCTTCGCCCCACTCATCATCATTCAGTCCGTGGATATGGTGTGATTTTTTTCTTTCTTCTTTGGTGGCATAATATTCGTGACAAATTTACGCCACACAAGTCTCGCTGGACCAATGCATACAGCACTCAAGTGTTAAAGACGCTTATAAATAACGAAACTGTTCTGTGTACACCGATACCTTTTTTGAGTGACCGAGAGTTAGAGATTTGCCTTAGAAAGGATGAAAAAAAAAAGTATTTCAGCTTTTCACAAGACAACGCAGACACTTCTCACATGGCGTTGTACAGCTCAATCTAAGATACAATAATAATTCATGCTGAAGCGTTACCAGCTTCGTTGCAACACGTGCTTTTCAGGACATCATTACCTATATGATATCTGAGGCGAAATTGTGAATTGAGCTCTGTGCCTGCCAACACCAGCAAAAGAGAAGCCCACTGTCTCTTTGAGGAGAAAAATTTCTGCCTGAGACAGTGTATCATTGCCCCTAGGTCTCATTACGTAATCAGGAAAAAGACTCAGCACCCAGAGTCACACCTTCCTCTTGATTTAAGCCGGCAATGGCGTAGCCTATGCTGCTGCATGTATCAGCGTTTACCATTCTTTATTTTTACTTCCCCGTACTAGCAGACCACGGGGGATTCCTCTTGACGGCGACGAATGATTTTCGGTGCTGCAAACCTCTTCCTTTCTTCAGCAAACCACCGCCATTATGGCCACCGCGCACCACGCTCTGCTTTGCTTGCTGTTTGTTGTTCCCAGCGTGAGTTCCCAAGCAGGCCCAGTAATATCTATGACTGGAGCCGGCACCAAGAACTTGATGGACGACGTGGAACGGCTGCTCAACACACTGGTGCGAAACGCGATGCCGGCCATGTCCGATCTGATGGACAAGAGCAACGTGAGCACCGCCTGCACCGCAAGCATCTTCAAGGCATTCCTGGCACTTAGGAGACACGAGCCCTGGGTTATCAGAAGTGAGTGGTGCACGCCGGGATATACTGCGGGGGCTACAGGGGAGATGTTGTTGGGCATTTTGGAGCACCAACTCTGTGTATTACCGCCACATCAGCGCTGAGCCGTAGTAAAACGAAATATGTTGTTAGTTTTGTCAAGCTGCAGAAATGTGCGCCTGGAGTTTTGCTGTCGCTACGGTGCTTGCTAAAACATCAGATGACCAGTTTTAGTAGCCATCACGATACCCATTCTGGTTCATTTATTTCGCAAATAACATCTTGACCATCGGCACTATCCCGCTGACATCGAATCGAAGTAACTACTCGGTAAACATGCGGAGAGCGACTCGTTCAGATTTTTGGTCGTGCTGCTACGTAACCTGCCTGGCCGATCCAATTGAACCGTTATACCAGTATATCATAAATTAATGCCCCGGCACACCCAGAATATATTCTGGGAGGCATTTTCCTCCGAATAATCAACAACGGAACTAACAGCTATATAGAGAGAAGGCATCACTTTTATGTAGAAGTTGCCTACTCACCGCACAAAACTTTCATTGATCTCCATTAAACCATTAATAAAACGAGAGAGAAAAAAAGAATAATAGAGCGAAAAAAAGAAAACAGAAAAAGAAAGCAATAAGAGAGAAAGGCTTGGAGATTGATCAAGGACTTGTCTGACAGGCTACTTCCCACATTGGAAAAATGACTCCAGAGGAGTTATTTTAATAGAAATAAATAAAGGTTATGGAGAAAGAAAAGAAAAGTGGACAAAGAGGTAACTTAGAGCAGCAGGAATAATCCGCGATGCGTGAGAGGGGATTTACCTGTTAAGCTGCCGTGACGTCACGACTGTGCTCCGTATTTAAACACAGCCACTTACAACCAAGATATATGTATGTCGCTTTGGCGAAGAGTGGCGCGGTTCAAAATTATAAGGCTAAATATTCTGATGTTTACACACCACTGCGCTTTTAAAACGGATGGTAGTATAACCGATGTGGTACAGCTTAATTGTAGGGGTGCAGGATTACTTGGATTTTCGAATACGAATCCAACACGAATAAGGAAAAAAAAAAAGCTGCCTTCGCATATCGAATCGAATTTCAAATATGCGTGTATTCAAACACAAACTACAAAATAGCAAGAGACAATAGACTGTTTTCAGATGAATTAATGAAACTTCGATTAATGAGGCTCGAGCCCATTGAAGATAGTTCTGGTAATTCACTTATTACAAACAATCATGCCTATAAATTAACCACTTTAGATGTTCTGAAGGTAAACAACTTGTACATGCCATAACAACATAGTAGCAGGGTGCACAATAGTTATTGCATAGAGTTGTTTCTTTTTTCAAAAAGTGGTGTACTGTTCATACTTTTTATTTTATTTATATATAAGACGCCAAAGTAAGAAGTGTAAAAAGTTGGGTGAAAAAACAGTGGGCGAAGGTCTGACGATTGTATCGGTGAGTGACCATAATTTAACACCGAGTGTTGCCCCTGATAAATAAAAAGAGTATATATATATATATATATAGATATATATATATATATATATATATATATATATATATATATATATATATATATATATATATATATATACTGAAGAAGTTTTTCCAATAGGCCAAACGTACTTGGGAAAAGAAGAGACACAACTTAGCAGTTGTCTTATTTTATTTCCAACGGTTTCGACCGGTGAAGCGGTCTTCGTCAGGGTTTGCGACTTGCCCAAATTTTGACGAAGACTGGTCCGCTGGTTGAAACCGTTGGAAATGAAATTAAGGCAACCGCTAAGTTGTCTCTCTCTCTCTTTCTCTCTCTCTCTATATATATATATATATATATATATATATATATATATATATATATTATATATATATATATATTATATATATATATATATATATATATATATATATTAGGCAATTCAAGGAGCAGAATATAGAAAATTGCTTGAGAGCAGGATATGTCCCGAAAGTACATCCAAGAACCCTACATATTACCGGTGGCAAGATACCACTTTGATATGGCTAATTTGGAGAGACATATTGCACTCGACGTGCGCTTTTGTGTTGCAGGTTTCCTTGAGAAGCCTCAACCTCTAGGCACATTTTAGTAGAGATTAACTGATCAATATTCTTCTGATTGAGTGATATGTGGGGTTTAACGTCCCAAAATCACCATTTGATTATGAGACGCCGTAGTGGAGGGCTCCGGAAATTTTGACCACCTGGGGTTCTTTAACGTGCACCCAAATCTGAACACACGGGCCTACAACATTTCCGCCTCCATCGGAAATGCAGCCGCCGCAGCCGGGATTCGAACCCCTGACCTCCGGGTCAGCAGCCGAGTACCTTAGCCACTAGACCACCGCGGCGGGGCAATATTCTTCTCAATAGGTTATTTTAGCCGGGAACAGCGTTCGCTTACCGTTCAATTAGCCTATGTCTATGTTGAAGTTTTTTGCAAGACCATTTTTTTTTTCGTGTTTCACAAATGCTTCGGTTATAGCAACGGTTCTCTACCTTGACCACAACGGAAGACAAAGCTAGCTCCTAAGGAGCTTCACCTCTTTAAAAAGCTGCTTCCATTGTATGTCAACGAGGGAGATGAAGCTGAAACAGAGCACAAGCTTAACGCGCACAACATGTCGATTTCTCAGTGATTACAGCAACACACAGCAAATTACCGGGTATGACGCATAGCTATGCACCAAACGGTAGTATGCAGTACGCATGCACGATTGTGCTTCCTAAACGGTAGTATATGTAATCCCAAGCACAATTGTGCGTCCTACCAGCACGTTCACACGTGGCCGTCAAAACGCTTGAAGAGAACATACTTTTGGGCTATGGTTTGTTACGTTCACGTCCCGTCCTCTTTCTGTGGTCCCTGTCTTATCAGCGCTATGGCTTCACTAAAGATCATTGCGCTTTTCTTGCTTTGCGGTGCTTCACTGCAAAGGCTTCGCCACATTGGCTAGCGTCGAAGTCGGAAACATTGATGGGCTGTTCTCCGCGCTTACCGAAAAGACGGAAGGCTTTGGGCGGGATTTTTGGGCGTCGGCTGAAACGCGGGCTCAGGGGCGCTGCTGATGCTGATTTTTATGCGACAAATCATGATCACGGCAAGCGCCAACCAGTACTCATAGGGTCATTGGCCAGCCCACTACAACTGCAAATAATTTAAGCTCTTTGGAGTCTCGGTTGGGAATTTATCGAAACCTCGTTTTAACAGTGACAGTAATATTAACAATGACATCTGAGGTTTTCATTTCCCAAAACCACCATATGATTATTAGAAACGCCGTAGTGGAGGGATCCTAAAATTCAGACCATCGGGGGTTCTTTAACGTGCAATGTCATCACACAGTACATGGGCCTCAACCATTTCGCCTCCACCAAAATGCGACCGCTGCAGATGGGATAGAAACCACTACATTCGGGTCAGTAGCAGAGCATCGTAGAGACTGATACACCACCGCGGAAATGCTTTCCAGTAAAAATAAGAATGCGTAATACTGAATAGTTCGTTACTGTTTCAAATATACGCCTCGTCCAAATATTTGCAACCGCCTACGTGGAGCCATCAATTCGAATGTTAGGGGAAATGCGAATGTGCATAATTTGACTCAAGAACATATGCATCAAATTAAGAAAATAAGCGGTTTGAATCCGAAATTCCTTATATTCGCACACCCCTGTAGTTTATAGAGTGATTTAACTTAATAACGAAGATTTGAGTTTGACTCTCACCTGCACGAAGTTATATTTTCGCCTTTCTATGTACCCGTGAACTGAATAATTTCTTACATCAATGAAACACGACAATCAACTGATCCCCCCCCCCTTTTTTTTTGCTGTTCACCCGGCAGTGTAGCATGCACATAATCTTCTCATTGCACTGTCACTGTCCCTTCTCCTGGTGTCTTGCTGCATGGTGGAAAAAGTCATCATCAAGGTCACTGTTTAAAAATAGAAAATGAAACACAAATAGTCTCTGCACGCGACGAAACCATTAAACCACCCGCTCTCTAACATTGCGTCCCAATAGTTGTTTCCCGCGGTTTCTAGATGGCGCCGCAATGCTGCAGGTGTGCGGCGTACAAGTGAAATGCCAGAAAAATTTGCATTACATATGTGCAGTAAAAAGACGTTGAAAGGAATTGCATGTTTGGGACAATGTACGCACTGTAACGTACATGGGCGGACTGATTTCCGAGATCAAAGTTACGAGTTGAATGACAGCATTAAATCTACATAAACAAGTTCACACAGACAGGTCGGGTGACATCAATCGGATATTTAATTGCGCACACCAACAATCTAGACCAATATAATGATTACAATACTCAATCACACTAAATCTGTGCTAGTAACAGGTCATTACAGTGGTTAAAAATATAGGTGCGTATGAAAAGTAACGTAGTAGAGAGGAAATAAAGAGTTGTGTGTCGACCACGCTTTTATCTTAGAAACCGTTTATGAATTAATAGACCGAATGAACTATGCGAAATCGATAGCTTGTAAAGCGATGTGAAACTTAACACTTTGGGGGATTCATCGCATGCTGGGGCCAGTCCATGGGTAACAAGGAGTGACCCCAGCATGCTCAAAGTTGAATAGAGCAAACAGCAGGGATAATAGAAGACTGTAAAACTAGTGGAGGCATTTACAACAGCATCCAAGGATTATGAGGAAATATAAAAGGTCATGCACCTGAAGATGTCAAAAACATAGCTAAGTAAATACATCAGTGGGAGTAGAAAATTGAGGTAATCGTGAAATAAAAAAAAATAAAGCGAGATATAAAAGCCAGTGAGCAAGCGTCAAGCTAATGATACCATGAAGGGTTAAAAAGCTGAGATTTCAAAAAGTGGTATAGTTTGATCCAACAAGTACCGAAAGAAGAAAAGTGTAATAAAAAAATTAGTACAAAAAACACCAAATGGAATGGTGGGTGCCGCAAATTTTAAAAAAGGGTAAAAGCGCAACAAAAGGATTCTGGAAC